CTTCTCCTCCTCCTCCTCCTCTTCTTCTTCTTCTTCTTTCTTCACAGAACCAGGGATTGAACTTAGGCCCTTGAACTTGCCAGGGAAGCGCTTATTCCACTGAGCCATCTCCCCGGCCTCTGAGGTGTCCTTCTTGAGCTATTTGTTTTCATATTTGATGATAGATTTATATTTCTGCCTCCAGAAGACAGTGGGAAATTAAGGGATAAGTACGCGTTACAGAGCCATGACAGGGTATTTAATTCCCTGGTCTCCCCCAGCCCTACTCCAAGTCCCAAGGAGGCTGGTGGAGATGCAGGCAGACGCCCAAGTTCAGGGTCCTTTCCCTCTGCTCCTCCCCCGGCCGCCTCTGATGAGGTACAGGTTTACTGGCCAGAGCTCTGCTTCACATCCGTGAGGGATATGAAGCAGAGTGTGATGACAGCGTGCGGTGCCCTGACAGCTGCGGGCTTCTGAAGGTGTCTGCGGTTTGGCCAGCTGAAGCCTGCTGGCGGGCTGCGGCTTAAGGCTCACAACCCTCTCCTCTCTTGCAGGCGCTGTGTGCGGTGGCTGAAAGTCACAGGCCTGTTTGTCTTTGTGGTGCTGTGCTCTGTGAGTACCTGTGGGTGCACTGGGCCTTGCGCAGGGCCACAGCTGCCCCTAGGGCCTGGATTGGATGGCACGGAATCTTAGGGGTGGGGCCCACTGCTTGGCGCCTTCGCTTGATGCTGGCTATGCTTTGAAGGGGCTGATGAGGGTGGGCAGCGTGGTGGTGAGGGGAGCCATGCCGAGCAGGCCTGGCCAGGGTTCTCCTGGTCCTAGGACAAGCGTGAGTCCAGTTCTGCCCCTGACAGCAAGCGTGGCTCTGGACGTCAGCACTCATGGGCTGAGCTGGGTACAAGCACCTGTCTGCACACATGGGGAGGGGGGCAGAGATGGCAAAGCTACGTACAAAATGGAATGATTATTTTGAAATCTGAAAAGGCACAGTTCTATTTCTTGCTAGCAGTGTGCCCCTGTCACCCCTACCTACATGGGGTGAGGAGGGAGAGCTGGATGTTGTGGTGGAGGTCAGCACATGCCTGGCTCCTCTGTCCAGAGAGCAGATGGACGCTCAGCACCTAGGCCTGTCCCTCTCTGGAGATGACGTTAGACACATCCACAGTAGACTGGGTGGATTTGCTCTGAACTGTCTCATTGTCACTTGGCTTTCTAATGGTAGACAAATCCCACAAACACATGTGACAAGCCCTAGAGAGGCTGTACCTCTCCCTCTTCTACAGGAAACCACTTTTACCCATCTTTGACAGTTTAATTTTGTGGCTGAGTATTTAACCTTTAAAGCTGGCATGTGTCCATCGTCGAGGGCAAGTGTAGTTAAACATAGTAGGCTGAATCAGGATGTTTACTTCGCAGAATAAGTGGTGGAGCTTGGCTATGTAAGTCATCACCAACATCGTGCCTCTATTTTTAACAGTAATCAAAATTATTCAAGTCCTGTTGCTCTGGTGTCACAAATCTGTCATTAAATGTTCCTAATTGTTGCAGATTCTGTTCAGCCTGTATCCAGATCAAGGAAGGCTCTGGCAGCTGCTGGCCGTGTCACCGCTGGAAAGCTACTGTATCTGTAGTGTGCACTGGGGTGGGCAGCGGGCCGTGGCTGAGAGCCACACAGAAGAGAGCCGCCAGGCGGTGTCCTGCTGTGGCTGAGGTCAATGTGGAGGCTATCGCATCTCTGCGCCAGGGTGGTGGTGGGCAGTGGGGAAGGCCGCCATGGGGGCGATGGCAGCACAGGGGCACAGCGTGGCTTTCGGCGGCTCTTCTGTACTCTGTGCCTCTCCACCACGCCCATCTACATTTCTGCAGAGGTCCTTCCTGCCAACCCGTCTTCAGGCTCTTGGTTCTCCCTTGGCTCCGTCCCCGGGTGCTGGTGGTAGCCTGATGCTTCACATGGTGCTTGCTCTTGCCTTTCTGGTGCCTGGAGAGGTTTTTTTCCTTGAAAGCCAGACACATCCATACGGAGGTCAGTAGCTACTGAGGTCAGTAGCTTCGAAGCGTGGCGAGGAGCTATCCCTTGGCCTCCTGGAGGCACCAGTTTGAGGACTCGGGTGGACTTCGTCAGACTTCAGCTGGGTTGAAGCTTGTGGCCGCTGTAACTTGGTGCATCAGGCACTTGGAATTCAAATCACTCTGTTTTACTTCCTGGTGGCCCCAAACACAAGAGCGGTGACTCTGGCAATTCAGATGTGCCGAGGAGGAGCCACAAAGGGAGAAGAAGAAGTTCTTGGTGTGCACCGGTAGAGGGCAGTGTTACTGTAGGGCTGGACTTCATGACCCACAGGTAGGGAGGGGTGCGGTACTAGCTTTTAGAAAGGATGACTCATTCAGAGAACCAAATGAGGGCCGGCCAGAGAGCTCAGGGGACTGAAGCCCCTGCTTTAGGCAGGCTCAGTGGCCGGGGTTCGATCCCCAGCGTGCCGTGCCAGCCAGTACCCGTGGTGCGCTAAGACAGCGATTGGGACTGGGCGTGGTGGCGCGCGCCTGTAATCCCAGCTCTTGGGAGGCTGAACACAGGTGGATCACTATGAGTCTGAGCTACGTAGTGAGACCCTGCACACCCTTTCCTAAACACACACACAGAGCAAAATGAAAAATAACAAAACAAAGAACTAAATGACAAGGGTTTTTCTCATTAGTGTCTTTGGTTGATCACCTCAAGGAACTGAAGTTGTGGAATGCGGGGCTGTCTCCTTCCGCTCACCCCCAATCTGTTGTTCCTGAGGCACTCTCGGGCGGCTTCTCTCCCCTCAACCAAGCCGCCCACACGGCGCTCAGGGTCTCCAGGTGGCCCCTGGTCAGGGATGTGGTCCTGCGCAGCCTCTGCCTAAGGGAACAAAGCCCTTCGCACTCCCCAGGCAGCGTACCTCTGGGTCCCGCTGGTATTGTCGCTCGACTTTAAAAATGTGTCTGAGGTGTGGTCTAAGCAGTAACTCCTGTGAGAGATCTGGAGAGCCCTATGATTTTGACAAACTGTTTTCTTTTGTTTTTTCTCCTCAATGGGAGCTCCATGGGTTGAAAAAACCCAGCCTTCCTAGGACACTGGCATCATGGAGTCCCCCACAGGACAGGGTGCTGGTTCCCCTGGGGATTCCCCGCAGGTGGCTGAGCCTGCTGAGAGCCTGAAGGCAGAGGTCGCGGTGTCCAGACCTGGTCTGCGGTGAGCCTTCGGCGAGGAGGGAGGATGGGAGGCTCCTGGTGCTGTGCCTGGCACTAGCCTGTGGCTCGGCCTGGCATCCCGGGGAACAGAGCCGGCAGGAGAAGATTGGTCCTAACAAGTCAGAGCCCTCATCTCATCCCGCTGAGCAGCAGGGTGCTGTTTAATTCTGAAGTACTTGTGCAACGTCCTTGGGGCCAAGATGTCACAGGGCCAACTTTCTTGGCACAGAGTGGTCTGGGCACTCTTGTCATCTGGGCACTCTCTTCTGCTCTTGAGAGGCCCACACATTGGGATGAAGGGGGGCAGGCAGTGGCGGAGGGGCGGGCAGGAGGCCAGGGTGCGTTGTTTCTCCTCAGCTCTGTGGAGCGTCCCCCGTGGGGCCGTGTCCAGTTTCCTGGGCTCCCCGAAGATGCCTGGGAGGAGGTGGGGCTGGCAGTGTGATGGAGACCCACGTGCCCCAGAGCACCGCGCTGTGGTGCAGGGAGGGTGGGGCCTGCGGACCACTCCCAGGGAAGTGCATGTCGTGCAGACAGAGCAGGGAGTCGGCCAGTTCTGAGCGGCTGACTCTTTGGGTCTTTGTGGTTGTCATCCAAGCAGAGAGCCTCCTTGCCCCCTGGCTGCCCCGGAGGGACAGGGCGTCTGTTGGGGCTGGCAGGGCTTTTGGAGAAAGCACCACTCTGCTTTTAGAAACCTGCAATTGCAGCACCTAAAACACTGTCCCTGGACTATTGTCTGTGCTGGCTGTGTGGGAGGCCTGCCACAGGCTCCCAGGCCACTCGCTGGCTTGGCGAACAAGGGAGTCAGTGAGCCTGGACATGCGGCCAAGCGGTGGTGCCCGCCCGCCTGCCGCCCCCTTCATCCCTTCCCTTGCCTCCCTCCTGCCTCCCCCTCCTCCCTCTTTCTCTGTGTTTCCGTCATGCCCTAGGCTGCACCCTGGGCTCACGGAGCATAAAGGAAACAGGCAGGGGAGGGATCCTCTCCCGCCCGTACTTGCCGGCTGGGGCTCGTACCCCAGACTGACTCGACAGGTAACAAGGAAAACAATCAAGAGCTTTATAATAAGGCATTGGTTCTAGCGATCGCGGAGCCTGTGAAGGCCCCGACTCACCCTCCGCTCTCTGGCCTCCGGGGAGCCAGTCATGCAGATAGCAGGCCTGAGTGCCGGGGCCTGACAGTGCCAAGGCCGGTTGGGTGTGAAACCTGAAAATCAAGGACGCCCAAGAAAGAAGGAGACGGTGCGGGGCTGGTGGCAGGCCCACAGTCAGGCAGGGAGGTGCAGGCCCTCTCCCACCTGGTTTCTCTTTGGATCCTTGGTGACTGGCACGGGCCCACCTGGTCATCTTGCAGTGAAGTCCACAATTCTGATGCTGATATTTTTCCAGAGACCCCCTCACAGGTACAGCCAGGGTTAATGCTTAACCTAATATCTGAGCCTCTTGGGGTCCAGCCAGATTGACCCCAAACTCACCTACCACAGGAGGTGCAAAGAACTTGATTGGATATCAAGGGTGGGAGAACTTCATGCTAAGATTAAGATCACAGATGAAGCTGAGATCAAGACCTTGTCCAGAGAGAGGCTCAGTGGAGCCTGGCCCAAGTTTGGGTGGGGAGAGTCCTTGCCCAGGTTAGCTGGGCCTGGTGGCTGGTGGCTTGCCAGCGAACTGGAAGACAAGCTTTTCAGTGCTAGGCACCTGCAAAGGCCCTTCATCATCTTTGGCGTCATCTTTGGGCACCAGCTCCTGCGTGGAGCAGCACACGCCTTCTCCACCACCCAGGCCTCCCTGACACCACAGGAGAGACGACGTTGTTCTGCTCATCAGCGTCCAGGCAAGGGCAGGAAAGGCAGCACTCCAGGGCCCCAGAGGACGCAGCGTCGGAGGGCTACGGGCCCCTCAGGATGGTGGCTCAGATTTAACAGCGAGAGGGCAGGAGAGCTGTGGAGGGTGCAGGCAGAGTGGCGGATGCTTGCTGACTTCTTTTCTGCAAGCTCTTCCTGGCAGGGCTTCTCCCCTCGGCTGAGAGGACTTCGTGGATGGCATGATGAACCACAGGTACTAAGCTCTGAATTGGGCTAACTTGGGGATAGCTGTGTCATTCTCTGGAGAAATCAACACTCGACCCAGACGTGGCCTTGCCTTCGCGGAGCTAGCTGCACTGGGGGACATGTGTAAACCAACTGCAGGATGTTGTGGGCACCCGCACTTTCACAACAGAATTTCTGCATACCGCAAAGACCCTTTGGGTAGAGCTACAGGGGCAGAGTTAACAAGCACGAGGGAGGTCTCCAAGGACATGGGGTCCCCAGATGTGGGGAGAGCAGCCAGGTCCCCGGAGCTCAGTGTTAGGACCACAGTCAGGCGGTGGCACGGTGAGGATCAAGGCTGGCTGTGGGGTGGGGCTGGACGCAAGACCCCTGTGTGCAGGGGTCCGGAAGCCAGTGTGGACGCCAGACAGTGGAGGACCAGAGAAAAAGCAGGGCGTGCGAGTGTGCGGGCTTGCCTCCCTCGGATGCGTGTGCACTCCGCGGGGCAGTGAGTCGCGGTGTTGCTGTCTCTCTAGGGCTGGGACTCCAGTTGTAAAGGCTTTGTGCGCAGCAGATGCTCGCATCCTGCAGGGAGAAGCGGCTGCTCTTTTCGTAGTGACCTCCAGGGGGCACTGTCCCACTCTTCGAGGTTTGTGGACTCTGTTCCGCGCTGTTTCTGAGTCTCTCCTGGGGAAAGACCAGGCAGGAGGACATCAGGTGTGGAGGAAGCAAGTGGATCTCGGGAGCCTTTTCTTTGTAGATGCTGCCCAGCGTGTGGTTCCCTTTTCTCTTTGTCCTTTCTGGGGCCCAAGTAGTTGCAGAGATGTGAAGCTCCCTGCTGAGGGTGGAAGCTCCTTCTGGCTCTCCCTTAGACAGCTAGGAGGATAAAATGTGCTCTGTCTCTGTCTGTCTCTCCCTGTCTCTGTCTCTCCCTGTCTCTGTCTGTCTCTCCCTGTCTCTGTCTCTGTCTCTGTCTCTTTCTCTCTCTGTCTCTGTCTCTCTCTCCCTTCATTTGAAACAGGATCTTACTAGTAGCCCAGGCTGGCCTTGAGCTCACAGGGATCCTCCTGCCTCAGCCTCCTGAGTGCTGGGATTGCAGGTGTGCACCACCTTGCCCGGCAGGTAGAACACTTTCTTTACTAGGAAGATATTTTTGTGTGGCTATACAGGGTGCCTATTGCAGGAGGGACACGGCGTGGCGTGCGAGCCATGCCCAGTGCTCCACACGTCTTGCAGGCGCTCCATCAGCAGCTGGCTTGACCTGCCCTGGAGCGGCTCCAGAAATTGCCCTTTGTCAGGAATTTAAGGAAGAAGCAAAGAATTGGCTCCTGGATCATGCTAAGATCTGGGCGTGAGTTGGGGCTGGACATTGAGGTCTCTCATATGAAGGGTGAATGATTGTGAAATTTATTTCCTGCCACAGCAGCATTCTTTTCTGGATTAAATGGGATGGAGTTGAGCAGGCTCTCTCATTCTAAGACGCCAGTGTCCTCGCAGGGCCTTGCAGCAGAGGCGGGGTCTCCGAACGTGAGCCCCTAGCAAGCGCAGGCAGAGGGACGTGGGCTCTGCGATGGATCACACACATGGGACCCAGGTGCCCAGGGCAGGCCTGCTGTGGGCTGAGGAGAGAGGGTTCCTGCCCTGACAGCTCCCTCCTGGTCCACCGCCGTTACATGATTTGATGCCTTAAATCATGTAATATCTTGTGCTCTGAGTGATTTAAAGTAACAATATGTAATGTAGTAACCATTGTTACCATCCTATTATCTTGTTTTGAATTTTTTTAAATTTAAAAAATAATGCCTAAATCCTGGGATACAGTTCAACAGCATTGCAGCTTCGTGGCAAACACTAGATCCTGAATTTGGTTCCAGGGAAAAAGGAAACTGTCTTGTATGAGCAGTATTTGACACAGAGACCCAGAGAACCTCAGGAAATTTTTCCAGTGTCTTCTCATTTAATTAGTTGTCATTGGATACCTTTTAAAAATAGAATTTCTCTATACATACATGATACTTTTATCATTCATAATTATGCTTCATTTTCTGAATTAACAGGCTCATGATTTTTTCTAGACTTTGTAAAACAAATTTTATATAAGTATTTGATATCTTTATTATTGACTAACACACAACTTGTTTATTAGATTATTTCATTAGGTGAAATCTAATACTGTACATTGGATGAAACATCTGTTTAAATTCTTGAGTTTAAATTCTAATTATGCTATTAAATTTTAAAGAAACTGAAAGAAAAAAAAAAAAAGGAAAAGAAAGGCGGTTGGTTCTGCCCTCTCCAGGAGACATCAGTGAGGTCGCCAATTTGATTCTCACTTCCGGTTCTTTCTGTGGGTTCTCACCCTACAACAGGAATCTGGCACCTTAGGGTTAGGGTGTGGATGTGGATTAGTTGGCTTTTCACTCTTGCAGGCACCTTGCAGGCTGTCCACTGGGGGAGCTTGGCACGAGCCTGCCGGTAGCTGCAGACGCGGGAGCAGGGCTGGCCGTGGGGCTGGGGCGCAGCGCAGGGAGCTCGGGTGGGCAGAGCTGGGCGGGAGGTGGCGGGCCAGACCGACTGCGCATGCGGGGCTGCAGGGCGGGAGGGCCGGGGAGGTGCGTTTCTTTGCTTTCCGAGAAGGGCGTGGGGGGGGCGGGGACCCTCCTTCCTCGGAGGTTCACCTTGACGCCCTGCAGCTGCGAACCTCAGTGGCCACCGAGACTCCACGCTGCTGCAGCTCAGCCTGGCGGGGGCGCTGGCGGCCAGTGGACCGAGCCGTTCCGGGCGAGAAGAGCATGTCGTGGTGGAGGTGACCCAGACGGGCGCTCTGAGCTCCAGGCGGCGGCAGCCACAGCAGGTGACAGTTAGGTGCTGCTTGGAAGCAGCTGTAAAACCCCCATTTCATCCCACTACAAACTGAGTTTGCTCTTGAGTGGGCTTGATGGGGGGCCGTGCCGCAGCCATACCGCTGTTGCTCAGGCCGTTGACGCTTTGTATTTCACTTTGTTGTTGAAATTCTCTTTTTCTGTCTCTAAATCATTCCAAAACTTGCCATTCCAGTAAAATTAGACTTGCAGCCTCATTCAGAACCATTTTCCTGGGCCAGGCGGGGACACAGCCTGCATCTGGCAGTAGCCCTGTGGTGGAGCGCAGCTCCATCTGGCCTCCCCCCTACCGAAGGCAGACAGCTGCTGAACCGCGGGTTCCTGGAGTTTAGCGTCTGTCACCAGAGGCCGGGAGGCGACCTTGCCTCCGCTCACACCTCAGAGACCTCTGCAAACAGGGAGGGCGAGAGCTGGGCAGAGGGTCCGGGTTTCAGGGCCTGCAGTGCGTCTCCACGTGACTTGTGCGTGGTTGCCACAGCCGTATGGAATGCGTCTTCCTCGTAACCGGCCAGTAGAAGGAAACCGTCCTTGCGGGAGGGGCTACCCCCCATTTTCCTGCTTCCTAGAGTTCAGTCCATACAGCTACAACTATTTTAGGAGAAAGTTACAGTTTCTCGGTCAATGCTCCGTGCAACACCAGCGTTTTAAGCTGGCCGCCCTGCCCCAGGCAGAGGACATAGCCCGGATCCCCCCGGGAGAGGTGCACAGCCCACTCCAAGAGACTGTGTGCAAGCAAGGGACATGTCTACTGCCCCACATAGGAAATCCTTCTGCAGAAGATGGTGGGACATTCTGCTTCTTTTGATATTAAAAAAATTAAAAATTAAAAATTAGTTTAATAAAAATTTTAGCCAATGCATAATATTAACGGGGCACAGTATGAGAACTTGGTACATGTATACAGTGAGTACTGCTCAGTGGGGTGACCAGCGTTTCCACACCCGCAAACGTTCGTCATTTCTGCACTTCGGACACCATCAGCCTTGTCTGATTATTTTGAAATGCATGATGCGCTGCTGGCTGCCGTGGCCTGACTGCGCCACGGAACACTGCTGTGGCCCCTGCCCCCACCTGCCTTTTCATCACATGTGTACTTGTCACCCAAGTTAGGTGAGGTGTACTGAGCCTCCCACTTGTGCAGAAAGGCCCTTCATAACATGTTGGCACTGCCCAAATGCCCACATGCAAATTCAGTTCCAGAAACCAAAGAACACAAGAACTTTGCTAAAGCTTTATTTTTCCAAACATGTTTTTTCCAGGGATCTAGGTTGAGGGAATTTTCTTTTATGCATGAGCTTTTCTGCTTTGACTGATTGCACAGTTTCTATCTTCGGTTTCCTCGATGATTTGTGGGTGAAAGTCCAGTCCACCTACGAGAAGTCTTTTCCCAGGGACTTGGCGCTCCCTGCTCTGAATCAGGCCCTCTCATTCCTGGTCCCCTGGGGACAAGAAGATGTGGGGTGGGTTTGCTAGGAGCACAGTGTCTCCGTTACTCTTCTCTTGTTGCCGGGACAAATATCCAACACTCAAAATTAGAGAAGGAAGGGTTGATTTAGCTCACAGTAACTGGAGGTTTCAGTCCACACTCAGCTGGCTCCAAGGCAGAGCAGCACGGGGCCGAGAGCACCCTTTCAGGTGCAGAGAGCAGTGTGGACAGCTAGCTAGCCCCTCTCCCCTCCTTACATTGTATTGCAGATTGCCTGCCTCAGGGCAGGTGGAGCACCCACCCCCACAATAATCAATCACAAACTCCAGAAGCTGCCCCATGCTGCATGAGGCTTTGGGGGGACAGCTAGACACAAACCATAGCACAGAGGAAGCTCCACCTTCAGGGGTCCTGGGACAGAGGGGTGCAGAGTGCTTTCTGGGGACACGTTTGCTGCTTCCAGGCTGTGAGCAGGAAATAGCTCTAAAGAAGCAATGCTTGTAAGCCACGTAGAGCTAGAAGGACTTCAAGTCTCCAGTAACTTGAATGACTTCTTCACTCATAACAGGCTCGTGCATTTGGCCTCACCATTTACATGTTTCTCACTCATTGGTTTGACCAAGTTCAGACTCAATACTTGGAAAATACTTTTGTGTGCATTGAACATGTAGAAAGCTTTTCCTTGTGATTTCCCCCTGAACAATTCAGAGTAACAAGCATTTTATAGGGTGTTTACATATATTAGATAGCATAAATAGTCTAGAGGTGATTTAGGGTATAAGGAAGTGCTTATGCAGGAGAGGGTCAAACACCGTGGCCATTGGGACTGGACAGTCTAGTGATCTGGGTACTCCTCAGGGCCCGGGAAGCAGTGCCTGGTGGCTGCTGAGGGACGTCGTGTTTACTTCTGTGCTTTTCATAGCTTTGTGTACTGATTCTGTGTTCCTGTTTTCAAATGCCTCAATGGAATGGGGCCAATTGCAGATGGCACTCCAGAAAAGCCTTACCTGGTCCTGCTTGGTTGTTACAGGTCACCCAGAACTGGACAGTACTTTTGAATCCAAGCAGAAGCGAGCACTCGGTGGTGAGCAGGACCTTTGCCATCCTGAGCAGGTGGGTTCTCGGGGAATGTGGCCTTGGGGGTGTTGTCCGGGATGAGCTCATTGGATCAATCTGTTTTTGCTGGTGTAATGAGACATCCAGGATGAGCTGCTTCATAGGAACAGAAGTCTATCTGGCTCCTACCGTTCTGGAGGGTGGAAGCCCAAGAGCACGGTGCAGCGCCTGCTCAGCGTCTGCTGAGCTTCGTTCTGTGTCAGGAAGCACAGAGGGCACAGCACGGAGAGGGAGCATGCGCAGCAGCTCCGATCTCCCTCCCACCTCTCTCAGAGATGCCGAGGCCATGGCGGAGGTCTTGCCGTTGTACCCTGCCTAACCTAGCTGCTCCCCGAGGGACCCGCCAAGTGCCATCAACATAGCAATTCTGGAGATAATGGGCTTTTTAGGGGGCACATAAGGCATAGCAGTCATCTGAAAAACGTGGGACACCACACTGTGGCACAAACAGACCTGGGTGAGCCTGCAGCTTGGAGGAGGCACCCAGCCATGAGGACGCTGGGCACAGACGCCGTGGGAGGCGCCGGGACGCGCTTGCGCAGGACCGCTTTGAAGCAGAATGTGTGTTTTAGTTAATGCTCTGATTTCGTCAGCACTGTGAAGACATGTAGGGGAGAGCTACAGGACTCTTGAGGGTTCTCCGGCCTTTACGTGATGTGATTAATGCTCAGTCTGTATCCCTGGTCAGCGGAAGTCAACGAGGTCTGCCTGAACCCAGAGGCCGGGCTAGGAAGGAGACACCAGGCTTGCATTTTCCAATTTCTACAGGCCAAAAATCCATGACCAAGGTGTTGAAGGCCTACTTTCTCCTTGAAACTTCTTTTGGCAGTGCCTTCTTATACAATGCAGTGTGTGTGTGTGTGTGTGTGTGTGTGCACACGCGCCTGTCTGCATCTCCACTCTTCTTATATGGACACTGTCTTTCAGGGTTAGGATTTACCCTAACAACTTCATTTCACCTTTGTTACCTCTTTAAGGGTTTTATCTATAAATTCAGTCACATTCTGAGATACTGGAAATGAGGACTTAAAAGTAGGAATTTTGTGGGTTCACAAGGAAGTTCACAAAGTTATTGACTGAGCCATAGAGAAGTGCTTCAGCTTTCCCATGCCATAAACTTTTGAATATTTACAGGGCTGTTGGTCATGGTGCTTTACCCCCACGATCTGAGACTGTGGTTTAAATAGTTGGCTTTGCTGTGTGTTAGCAGGTAAAGCAGTTGGGTATGGTGGGAGGTGGAAGAGGAACTCAGTAGCTAATATCAGCTGTGTAGGGCTCAGCCTCTTGTTAATTGTTGGAGCTGTGCCCACAGGGAGGTGGACACTGTGGGTGGGCCTGAGAAGCTTCACTGGTGGTCTTGTTGGCCCAGAAAGGCTGTGTTCGGTATCATATATCACTGATCTAAGTTGGGCTGAATCTCCTCGAGATCTCTTTGGCCCTGGGCAGAGCCACAGCGGATGTGAGCTGGGAAGGACACTGACGGCTGACCCAGAAATGTTTCCCAGCCAACTGAGAGGTCTGTGCTCCATTTGCAGAGAAAGTGTCTCCGTCAGTATCCGGACCTCCCTGCAGCAGAGCCAGGCCATCCCCCTCCTGCTGTCCCACCAGTACCTCCGCATCAGCACCAACGCCCAAGTGGTCATCGCAGCCGCCATCCTCGCGGGGGTCTACACACTGATCATATTTGAGGTAATGGTCAGGCCCACTCGTCTTCATCCAGCAATGCCCACAGTCGAGATACTGTACCTCGTTTTTGTCAACATGGCTTTAGCCACATCCTACAGATTGTGATCTGTTGTATTTTAGTTATGTTTAGTTTTCTCTATTTCAGAGATTTTCCTTGAGACTTCCTCTTTGACTCATGGGATATTAGGTGTGTGTCATTTGACTTCAAATGATAGCAGCCCCTCCCATCTTTCTGTTACAGAATTATAGCTAGATGCATTTACAGGCAGAGAATTTAGTCTACATTCATTTCTTTGAACTTACTAATTTTTAATGGTTTTTGTCTTGGTGAATATTCAGTGGGTGTGACGTGTAACACTAGTGTAATTTGCAAATACAGATTCTATATATTCATGAGCAGCAGTAGGTGAAGCCCCAGCGGAGTCCCCACGAGTGTGTCTTGGCGTAGGAGGTGGAGACGATCGCAGAGGTGTCGGGACAGTGGACATCCTGCCCCTGCTTCACTAACTCCTGTGCTTCCAGGGTCCCTTAGGGCCCGTGAGGGTCTCCACCAGGGCAGAGCTGGATACTGCCTGGTGGGCTTTCTGGGAGTGGATTCAACACTTCAGCCTTTCTAGCTCTTCTACTTGAGGGAAGAAGTTACTTAGGGTGAGGACTCAGAGTTCTCCTAACTCTCAGGGAAGAGATACCGCTTTAGCATAAGAGGCCTCGAAATTCTGCTGGCAGGCACCTTCCACCTATGTCGGTACCCTACTTTGCTCAGTGGGACCAGTCTTAGGGTGACCTGCAGACATATCTCTCCACTTTCCCTATCTGCTGTTACCAGTGGCTCCTCAGAAAGGGGAACTTGTCACTCCTGTCTCCTGCTGTGACCTGTACCGTAAGCCTCCTCCCCTGCTGTTATAAATTCTCAGTCTCTCTCAGTGCCTGGAACAGAGCAGCTGCTCTGTAAATGTTAATCAAACAAAGTGTTCTCCCAGGTACTTGAGATGCACAGCGAGGTCTTCTGGGGTTGGCCTAACCCGGCTGTTGGGCAGGGAGGGTCCGGACAGAGGACCTTTGGCCCCCATTGTTGTATGTGACTGAGCAGGCACACAGGCTAAGAGTCTTTTAGGCCTTTAATGCCCTGATGGGATTAAATCATTTCAGAAAAGTCCTTAGGTTGTTTCCACTTCTGGTCCTATAAATAATCCTGAGTGGTACTTTCTTGGGGTCATATTTTTCATCCCTGTGAAATAGTTTTTTTTTTTATTGAAAGGCCTGAAGGACAAAGTTGGAGCAATCCTCTAACGCTCGCTCTTTGCATCTGTAACGGAGCTTCGTATTTCCCAGGGCAGTGTTCTGAAAATTCCATTATCACAGCTAAGGCTTCTAGACTCGTGGTGTATAAAGTCATATTAAAACACTTCTAACACAGTCCTAATGAAAAATATCGCACAGCACAAAGAGGATAATACTCTTCTCCCACGTTCCCTCATCCGGCTCCCGGAATTACGTGCTAAGGATTGCCACCATTCGTGGGCTCCTTTCTGCTAGAAATGCTAAGGCCCTCTCCCCTTTCCCCTCCTTATCTGACTGCGGCGACCCGAGGCAGCGTTGTGTTTAATTCAGGAGTTCATGTAGTGTTTGATTTAGAAACTGCGAAATTAAATTCAAGAGAGACAAATGGAGAAAATCCTGAGTCTTTCAGGAAATCTCCACTTTAATTTATGAACACTGGAAGCACGTTCGTGGAGAAGGAAGCTGGCCACATTTCAGAACGCAGGGCGTACGGCATAGGGGTGTTTCCCCTGGAAATCCCCCGGTTAGGTTTTCCTGAGTTTTGCTCTTAGTTTAACAATGTGGCCAGGGCCAATGGCTCTGCACCCCACTTTGTCTGTGAGCCTCTTCTGAAAATAGGGGCCAGGGATATAGCTCAGTAATAAAGTACCTGTCTGGCAAGTACAAGTCATGAATTCGAGTTCTAGTAGCCCCCTGCCCCCCCCAAAAAAAATTTACAGAAAGAAGGAGGAACCCACCTATTTCCCTAGAAAAGCTGCCAGCGTCTCAGGGCCAGCAGTCCTTAGCTATTCGCGACCCTGGAAGCAGTGAGCTAGGTCCTGCCCTGATCAAACAAGAGACAGGTTAGGCCATGCGCAGCACCTGTTTAGGATTAAGCAACCCAGCGCATGCCGGGGAACGCGAAGCCAGCGCGGCCCTAGCAGGCGCGCCCGCCCATTCCCGCGCTGGCTGTGCGTGCGCACGTGCGTGGGCGTGAGCGAAATGCGTCCAACCGTGCGCGCGACCGTCGGAGCGGGGCGGCCGCGTGTCCGTAGCGCGTGCGCCTGGCAGCGCGTGGGCAGACGCGGGCCCGTTCTGTGCAGAGGTGTGCGCCGCTCGGTGCGTGCGCGCGACCCGAGCACGTGGGCGCTCGAAGCGTGAGAGCGTCGCTGTGAGCGAGCCGCGGCTGGCCGAGGGCGGACCGGAGGTCCCTGCTCCTGCCCGGCCCGGCCTCGCCGGCCTCCAGGCCGCCGGGTCCCACTGACCCAGGAGCCAGCCCGGGGCAGCCCCAGCGCGGTGCCGCCTCCTGCCGCATGGACGCACGCATGCACGCACAGACGGACGGACGCACAGATGCACGCACGCACGCACGCACGCGCGGGTTGGGCGCGGCGGGGGCGGCGGCCTCAGAGCCCGCCTCTGCTGTGGCCTGCTTTGTGCGGGTCGGTCCTCTAGGGAAGCCCACGCTCGCAGGAACGTGAGGCGGCGCGCGCGTCACGGTAAGTGGAAGAATCAGCGAGGCCGGGCGGCGCAGAGGAAGGGCGAGCCGGGCTGCCCTCGCGGCCGCCTCCTGGAGCAGCACGTGCGCGGGCGGATGGCAGCCCAGCCCCGCCGGGTATTAGGGCACACGGGTGTCCACCCACACAGCACCTGCCCTGGACAGGACCCTGGTCGCCAGCCCGCGGCTGTGGGACCAGTCTGCGCGGCTTCCGTGCTTGAGCTAGAATCAGTCTAGCTCAAGTCTAGCAAACAGATTTCTGTGTGCAGCCGCTCTCCTGCAGCCCGGAGCTATGGCGACTTCAAGGCTCCCCTGGAACTTCCCCGGGCGTGACGTTCGCGGGGCTCGACCTGGTGGCCCAGGGCCTCGGAGGGGTCAGCGTTCTTCTCAGTCACCTCTTGTGCGGCTTGCACCTCCCTGGCAGCAGTGCTGTGAGCACAGAGCTCTGGCCTGTGCTGCGTGTTCGTTCCTCCCCGAAGAGTCTTGAAAGGGGATCCCAACTCCCAGGGCTCCACTGTAAGGACAGGCGCCCCTCTGGACAAGGCTGAGGCACCTGAACGTGTGACAGACACTCAAGCAGACCGTGGCATGCATGTGCGTCTTCCACCAGCATCTTCCTTTCCTTTTGGACTGGAGCCCTGTGTTAGGCTAAGATCGGAAGCAACCCGCATTGCACACTCCGTCCACCCACCACAAACTGCCACCATCTGTCCTATGATGCTAGACCCAGCGGAGCAAAAACATTGGTTCAGGCTTGCAAGGCAAGGATGGTGCTGGGCCAGAGGTCACGGCAGGGTCAGAGGTTGCAGCAGGGTCAGGGGCCTCATTCCCGGGTCACCCAAGTGTGAGGACTGGGTTAGGTCCAGGCTGGAGATTCTCTGAGGGAAGGTGAGGCTGCGAGCCCTGATCCCCACAAAAATAACCAAGCTAGGTTTCTAGGAGCACCTGGTAATGCTCATTTTCTTCCTCCTCCTCCTGCTCCTCCCCCTCCCTCTCCCCCTCCCTGTTTTCACTCACACCGATGTAAGGGTCCATTGGCTGCGTTGCCAGTGTGCAGTCTTTGTTTAGGTGTCAGAATGGTCACCAGTGCTTGGGCTAGATCACAGGCCTTGCAATCACAGTGGAAATGTATGATCACTTTGAAATCTGCTCCATAACAGGCCAGTGAAAGGGCTCCCCGTGACGCCTGCAGCCTGTGATTGGCGTGGCGCTGGCAGCACGTGGGGACCACAGTCCCAGACAGCCTACTACAACTTGAACCTTGGCCTGTGTGTTCTGTAAAGACGAGTTAAGAAGGCCTTCTGTCCCATGAAGGTCATTTTTATGAGAGCCACTGGGAATCTTGGTGTTGCGTTGTTGATTTGGGAGTTATTGTTGGGTTTGTACCACGCATCACTTAGCTATAATATAAGGGGAAATTGTAGCTCACAAGCTGTCCATACAATGATTTGAAATTTCTAAAGAGAGTAAATTTACACGCGGGTTTATGAAATTCAGTACAGTGTTTTAATTTGTTCTCTTTTGTGAAGCTCTCGCTGATGTCAGAGTTAAAAACGTTAAGAACCACTTTGGATCGGTTGGCAAAGTCTGGGCTGTGCCTTCCACAAGAGAACCGAAGGGGCCCCTGCACACCCGTGTTCACTGCGGCATTATTACCAGTGGCCTTTCCTGGGAAGCAAGCTGCGTGTCCAGCATCTGACAAATGGGTTATGAGAAGGATGTGGCAGACACACCGTGGACTAGCCACAGTGCAAAACAGCTCCTCCGAGAGGAAGGACTGAGCCCAGAGTACGGGCAGCTCTGACAGTAGGGCACACTGGAGAGCCGGTCACTGCATGAGAGAGCGCGCAGCATCCTCAGCCCGAGGGACACGCAAGCCACCATGACTCTGCGCTTCCCTCTGCCCCAGTTAGAGCAGCTCTCACGGAGAGCGCAGAGCAGCCAGTGCTGTGAGGGTGTGGGGAGCGACTGCTGCGGGAGCGACCGCGTGGCGTCAGTGTGGAGAGTCCTCAGAAGTCTGAAAGTAGAATCTCATTTGACCCACCTATACCTCTCCTGGGGGTCTCCCCTAAGAGAGTCGCAAACATTATGCTTCAGTGACGCATGTGTACCCGTGTTTATAGCGATGCAGTCCACAATAGCCAAGCTCTAGAAACAGCCTAGATGCCCATCAACAGATGATGGATAAAGAAAATGTGGTATGTGAACAAAATGGAATATTACTGTTACTTAGCTATGAAGACAA